GTTACTAATATTATTATTTTAGATGCAATAATATTATACGTTTTTGTTTTTTTTGATTGATTAACTCGACCGACAAAAAAAAAATCTATCCTAGAATAATAGGGACAGGTAAAGACCGGTATACTTATAGGTAATTTAAAGGTTATCTATAAGCAACGATAAACCATTACTAACGAAAAAACGATTCTGAATGGAGTTCAGTTGATAATGTTGCTTTGTCAACAATATATATATATATGTCGTATTGTTATTAAATAATTACATATGCGTTGTGCGTTTTCTTTAATAATATTTGTTTAATATTGTACCCATTTTCCCGTTTTTCCCATTTGCCGGGAAAACTCCCGGGAAGATCAAAAAAATGACCCTTCTAAAATATCTCCCCGGTCCGATTTACTTGCAGAAAAAGCGCTATCATTGACAATCGGTGCGAAATTGCCGGCTAGAAAAATTGGCCAAGAGAAACAAACAATAATTGTCATCGTTGTAAAACCAACGCATTCCCCGTTCCACCCAGAATCTAAAAACGCGTTAAACTACGCGATATAGCGTTTAGTTTTTACAACGAGAACGCACGTGGCTATTAATAACGCGCGGGTCAATCATTACAAAACTCTCGCGTCCACAGACATATTCCGATCGCGTAACGTTTCGTCGAAAAGTCAATAACGCGTTTACAATAAAAAAAAAAAAAAATTAAAAATCGACTTCCGTATTTCAACACCCGCGCGCCACGATACCGACGCCGAGAAGGATTTTCGGTAAACGTCGAACTCGGCACCGGGACTTCGTATCATTATTATTATTATTATTATTACGTCGACGGGTCACACGCGTGTGTGATAAATACGTACAAAACAAATCGTTAGTCTCGAACCGGGACAGATGGGCAACAAATGCCGTGTCTTGGGCCTCGGGTTATACAAAACGCGTGTAAAGGAACGCGTATCGCATAAATAATACCGCGCCGAGTTCGCCGCGCTACGCGCCCGGCGGTTTCATAATTATTATTTTTTTTTTTTTTTTTACCGCCATGTGTTAACCGAGCGGACACGCGGATCGAGAATTAACGGCGGCCAGAACGCGAGAGACGTACCGCGGAACGGAGGCGAACCGTGTCTCGAGAAAACAGTGGCGTCGTCCGGGGGTAGTACACGGGGCCGGGCATTTTCCCTACTACCTCGCGGTCGGCGGGCCGGGTGTAGGCTGGTGTCGCGTCGGTTTCGCCGGCCGCGAGCTGGGCCGAAACCGCGTGTTCGTATTGTATTGGCCAATAGGTCAGACGGGTTAGCCATCCTTGGCGTTTGCGTTTATTTGTTATTTAACCGTTGTTTGTTTTCCGATAGAAAAAAAAAAAAAAATGCGTTATTTTTTACTGAGATAATAACGTAATTGTGACGGGCACGTACGCGCGAGCAATTTTTTTTTTCGATTTTATTATGAGCCGGTCAAAACCGTCGCCCCCGCCTATCGATAACTGAAATGACGCCACTGTTCGAAAGGGGCGTGACAATCGGCATGGGACAATATCGCCCCGGTTCCACGCGATCGCGCGCGTTCGAATGCCGTATGTTCGGAGGGCGTTTGTGCGTTTTTTTTTTTTCGTTCCCGTTTTCCGTTGCGTTCGTTCGTCCGCGAACGATTCGCTCGGGGCACGGAATTTTCAGTTTCGTTCTGAACACGAATTTTCCGGACACGGCACACCTAAATTGTACAATCCTTCGGACGGACGAGCTATGTGTCTTTCGAACGTGCACACGCGGTCCCTCGGTAACATACCGCGGTTCGTCCGGTAACTGTACACGTTAATACTTCACGCTCGAAGACTTGTTGCTCCGAAAAAGATCACCAAACGTGCACCGGCAAAACACTCGAAATACGCATTTATGTGCAAAATCTAGTCAAATTCGTTTTAGCACAAAACCATATTCGTTTCCTGCTCGTGCTGTTTTTCATAATGTCGGCGTCGAACGTTTGACGCGCGTAGACTTTTCGGAGCGTGCAGTATAAGCAAAATACACACGCCTAATGAATTTTAGTTGTACGCTCTTGAGCAGGTAGCTCTCCCAGACGATAAACGCCCGTCCGAGGCCCTGACATGTCATCGTGTAAACTAATAAAAAAAAAAAAAATTGTCGACAGAATTAGAAACATTATACGTTGATCGTTTTTTTTTCCCCCGACATGATGTATTTCGAAAATACAATACGAGCGTGCATAAATTTCAAATAAAATATCTAGTCTCGTGTTTATAATTTAGTATGCGTATATTATAATATGTAAAGAAATAGTTACGAAACTTTTACAATAATAATAATAATAATAATAACATAATCGTACCTCTATATAGAAGATAATAATAATATTTCAAGGTCTCGGAACGAGAGCGTAGGTATAACTCGTAAATTTGTTGAGATTAAACGCCACAGCCGTCTGCGTGTAACGTACGGCTTATATTATTATTATGCATTGGGAACTACACAAAATAATAATATTATTATTATAGAAACGCCGAAATAAAAAATTTTCACTTTTTTTTTTTTTTTTTTTTTAGTCGATTATCGCTAGGCCAGTAATACCAGTTTGAGAATAATCAAAGTTACGACGTATATGTTTAATTCATACAGGTTATAATAATAATATTATATTATAACTTGTAATTAATTCTAAATATCGCTCACGACGGCGTGTGCGACGTCAAAAACGTTAATAATGTAACACAGAAAATAAATTATATTTCGTTTTTGTATTAAATATATAATATGTGTATATATATATATATATGTAGGTACGCTTGGACGAGATTTCAATATTATTATGCGTAATAATATTTCGTAAAAGTTTGCGATGGGCTCGACTTGGTCGAGTATATACCAGTTCTGCGGTTACGCTTGGTCCGTCGTTCAAACGCTCCGGTATAATTAACAAAACGCGTTCGCTTCCTCGATAATCGAATTGAATAGTAGGGGGAAAAAAAACGCGAATGAAATCGTAACGTTTGACTATGTTATACTGGTCGCGTCGATACGCTAACAACAGTAACACGCGATAGTATTACAAGTTATAATATTTATAGTGAGACGATTCCCAGGAGTCGCACGGAAATGGGTATGGACATAGTTTGAAATGAGATTTTAGTCGCAATCTCCCAAGGAACAAGAATAAAAAAACAGTGCGAAGACCGAGAGATGGCAATGAAGGTCATTGGTTGACTGTAAAAAAAAAAAAAAAGAATAAAAAAGGAAAATTATACTATATTACACGAAAATCTTCAATCGCGGGTTTTCTCGAACAGTCGCTATCGAAATGAATGAAACGACATTTGGCCTTATAAACGACGTTAGCATTATGTTATCAATGACAATTTGCGTCGGTTAACAAACCGAGTATCCGGCATTTATCGGTCGGTAATAAAAACGCGTTAGATTCTCGTGAAAGGAGTCGTGGAAAGCAAAATCAGTTGGGAAAAGTCCAAGAGAGTTGCAAGCCTCGTCAAAGACTGTAGTATAATATTATAATGACACTGTCATAAAATACCGTTAACTCTCATCCAGAACATTCACTTGATTCGGTCCCTCACGTCCTTCTCTCGTACACCCGCCGCGCCGTTCTCGCAACATTCTCAATCGCATTCAACCACATTTTTTTCCGTCTTCCTCTTTCCCTCTCTTTTCCCACGATTACTTTCATTAAAATTCGTACTGCTTCTGATTCCTTTCCTCTCCCCAAAATATGCCCAACCCCTTGATTGAGCTCATCAGTCTATTTTCTCTCGTTTTATTTAGTATCGAAGACATACCTCTCAGTACTCATTCCTTATTAAATTTTATCTTTTCACTCTACTCAACAATCTAAACATTCTCATCGATGCTACATTCATTCTCTGTTCTATTTTTCTGTCTGCCATTCAGCACTCCAAACCATACGACTTAGTCGGTCTTACCACACCCTTGTGGAACTTACACCTCAAAGTCTCGTTGGAATTTTCTTGTCACATAAAACACCTGACACTTCTCTCCACTTTATCTAACCATACTTAATTATATACTTCACATCTTCGTCAAAACCATCATTATTTTTTACAAAAGATCCTATATACTTAAAACTCTCAACCTCTCCTATTACGTCATTGCTTATATTATCATTAGTTGTCCTCAGCCTTTTGTCCTATTCCTTCATACTCATATTCTATGTACTCTGTTTTAATTCTATTTATCCTTAGTCCCTTTTCTTAAAGTGCTACTCTCCATTTCTTACATATTGTTACTTTTTCCAGATTTTCTCTTATCAAAACTATAACATCTGCAAGCACCATGTGCTATGACACCTGTATTTGTATTATTTTGTTATATTTTATCATATTGTTACCAAGGCGATTAAAATAAATATATTTTTATAAATATAATTTTTTATCTAAAAAATTGCAAAAAATATACTAGGTGTAGGGAATCAATACCGGTCTCGTAGAACGCAAATCACGTTCGACCGATTGTCCACAACTTAGACTACGAAACCGTTGATTTTAATAGTATTTAAATAATAATAATAATAATAATAATAATAATTTTAGCGTTATAAAGTGATTCTGTTAAATTTTAACAATCTAAACCAAAACTATTATTATTATTAATTTTGTATTCTTTTTCAGAAAAATATGTTCAATTTAACTATTAAATAAATAATAAAGTGACAGTAGGTTAACAAACTATTTTTTTAAAAAAAAGATATAAATTTAGATTTATTAAACAAATATTGTAATGATTGATCGTGTAATTGTGAGGTTAGTAAATGCAGAAAGAGCTTACTTTTGCACTTTCCAAATTTCTCTAAACCAAAATTCTCTCCAAAAAAACAAAGTCGAGACTCAACATAATTAGATAGATCTACTCTCACATATTCGTGTAAGTATGGACAACGACAATTTTGACACTAAGAAGAACTTTCGATTACAAAATTTGGAGAATGATTTGTGGACAATATCGTGACACATGGACAAATGAATGGAGACGAAGATTCAACAGGGAACATCGAAAAAAACTGAGCCTTCCTTCAGTTATTTGCTAAATAAAAAGTCAGAGAATGCAGTGGTTAGGACATGCCATGAGAAGAAGTGTAGAAGAAACCATCAAAGAAATAGTAGAATAAAACCCAGTAGGGAAGTGACATATGGTAGACCGAAAAAAAAGTGGCCGGACGTAGTAGTGGGTGGTCTTAAAGCTTTAGGAGTGCAAGAATGTCGTGATACCGGCAAAAATCCTAATAGAGCTATAAATGCCAGTGATGATGATGGTTATATTAAATTATATTATCGATAACTGATAAGCAATAATACAAATTATAATAGGGTTTCTTTCAACCGTACAGTAAGTTGGTGGGTTGAGTGAGCGGGTGATCCGCCTACATATTCGTAGCTCAAACACGTCAGAGTTTTCCACGGCGGTGTGCGACCGTGACCGGTATTTATAGTCTAGGACAGATTACTGTGTGCGTTTTCCGTTAAATTCGAAAGCGTATTTCGAGATCGCCGACGACGACGGAGACCGAAAAACGTGTGCTGCGCACAATACCGAACGGAATTTGCATTGGTATTACACTGGACCGTATACCCGGTTATTGTTTAGGCGCGCGAGTCCGCGGCATGTTCAATGCGGAATCGTGCGATGCGCGCACGTGAAATTCGTGGCTCGGCGCCGACGGACTCGATCGCGTATAACCGTAGGCCGGCTCGACGTGCTCGGAAACCCTGATTCGTATTATTGCGATATTTGCATTTTTCCATCGTTAAAAATCGTTTTTCCGGCTCGGCCGTGTAGAAGCGAGCAATAATATTGTTATAGTCTTTTAGGACTGCACTCTCCCGCGAGTCCGTATAATTATTATTACTATGTATTCAGATTTTAACGGCACTCGAGGATTATGAAGCGAGCGCGCGCATGCCATATAGCAGAAAATGTTTCGCGAGAGAAAAAACAATAATACAACAACAAAAAAAGAAAACCCCATTACTTTTTATACAGCTCATTGTAATACACAGGGAGAAATTATTCTCAACCTTCCGAAGCGTTTATTCGTTAATCTAATACACTATAAAGATGAAAAACTTTCTCGAGTTCTCTACTGCACATTGGCGAATAAACCATTTTTTTTTTTTTAGATTCAGAGCGGAGCGAGTGACGAACTCTCTGTCCAAACCTCTGTCGCTCCATCGAGTCTTTCGCTGCTTCCGAAAATGATGTCCGTCGTTCCCGAACTCGTGCGTCCTCGGTTATTGTTCTGGTTCTTCCGCTCTTTTGAGCCCTCGGTTCGTTCAACGTGGATGCGGTCTTCCGGTCGGGCCTTTTTTCCCTCTAGTTTGCTCGCGCCAGAACTCTTTGTACGGCCATCCCCTCGCGTCAAAACGTAGCGAGTATACATGCACGTGTCAAATTTAAAATCGCGTTCGGTTCGCGAAACGCGCGCGCGATGACCTCAAAAACTATACACGGCGGAACAGGTTTCGTCGCCGACAATCCTCTCGGTGAGTATATCTTCTCGGTCTTTGGCTTTTTTTATACTCGCGATGAACCGTTCAAAATTACATTTACTTACACATTCGCACACGAAATAATATAATATACCTCTGCGCGCGCGTGCGCACAAACACACACACACGCACACACACACACAATATACACGCATATTTTTAGTATGCCGGTCGTTTTTAACGTGCCGGAATGTGCACGACTGACTTTATTGCTATTCGGCCCCGGTTATTGTGCGGCGCGCGTGTGTTTGTATTCCCGGCGCGGATAAAGACGAGTTATTTCAATTTAAAAGCGCGATGGCGAGCCTAATAATTCGAGGGCACGAGCTGCGCGCGTACATGACACGGGAGTAAAGTACGGTGGCTGCGACTGATTTGCCTTTTCTCACGACCGACGACGACGGAATGATACGGTGTTTGTATGATGTTTTTGTTTATTTCGTACAAAAAAAAAAAAATAATGTATTAATGCCCGTTTTGAGTTTAAATTTTTACAATAGTCGTAAAAATCACGGCATTTCAAAACATAATTAACGAAACTTCGGCCAGAATCGTTTTTCGTTAGCAATGTTTATCGTTGCAAACAGATGTAAATTAAACAACTCTATACTATATTTTACTACCTACTTTCCAACTCTCCACCTACAACAGTGACACAGTTTCAGTTTTTTTTTTAGATTATGAGTGCAACGAGGAATTTATATTGGTTTTAATAATATGGTGTATTCTTTTTATTATTATTATTCGTCGAAATCGCGTCCTCGTCAACCAGGTAGTTAACCAAGTACACTATAAGTATATATCAACTGTTATACCGGTAGATAAACAAATGAATATTGAATGAATCTTGTTAAGGTGACTTCAAAAGCTGGCGAGGCCGTCGTAATCTCATAATAAACTTCAAGTCCTCGGACGAACTTCAACGATAACAGTTCTTTATTCCGCGTTTTCACGTTTCCTTGTTCTAAATTCTAACACCAGAAACTTCCTACGGTTTAATATACGTAAGTAAAACAATACCGCACGGAAAACAAACTATTTCCTTGCCTCACGTAATCATAACATTATAGTTTAGTAATGGTAAACGACACTATAACAGTATAACTAACAGAAGAAATTTGAAAGCGTCCCCAATTAAAAGAGTATCAGCCGTTTTTCTTTTTATCTTATAGCTTTTAAAGGCTTTCTGAAGATTCTCTGTGACGGCAATACACCTACGGTAATTTACACCCACTACGTAAATCAACCAACAGGTATTTTGTCCCGTTTGCGATTGTGTATATGAAACTGAAATACACACTGCACCAGGTATCAACAGTATTTCGTATCCCAGTTATAGGTTGCATATTATGCACTACGCTTGAGCAGCGTATACGAAAGGGGAGAACAAAGAGACGGCAGCGACCGGGGTGAAGATTAGGGACTTAGATTAGGATCTCGCGAGGATTATACAATTTGACTATTTTCTCGAAACATGATAATGTTGCAGTTAACAAACTATACGTTTTCATTCGATACGATAATTTAATTGTTCGGCGGTCAACTAAGTATATAATTTTGAAACACCGTAAACAGTCCATGATACGGGCACCGAGGCACGAACGCTCGTGGCTAAATCTAACCGTAGTTATTTAGCAACGCATCGCGCACTAATAGAGTAGTTCAACCTACGCGATTGCAGTGATACTCGCGTTCGGTTATCAGTTACCGCTTATCAGTTATCGGTCAGAAATCAGCGTTTGAATATTTCCCGTCACGACAAGAGCGTGATCCATTCCATCTATCGGCGTATACGCTCCCGGAGCACCGTTACAGGACTCGCGTGGACCAATAATTTTCGAAAAACATCAGCAATATTTCGCGAGTCCCGAAATTTTCTCACCGTGTCACATCGGTCCGTCGGCGGTGATATGCTTTGCTATTTTTTTTTTCTCACGACCCGCGGAAACAATCCGGATAAATAACATATTGTAATTTGTTATACCGCGTGCGATATAGACGCATTCCGTGACTACGCCGCCGACGGTCTCGAGACATTATCGCCGTACAAAAATCTCACCTTTGCCCACATATATAATTACAAGGTTTCGTTGTTTTTTTTTTTTTTTTGCGTAAATACTATATCGTAAATAAACATATATATAAATATATGCGTGTGTGTGTGTGTGTGTGTGTGTGCGCGCACACGCGTGTGTACGATGTGTACACACATAATATTATAATAAACCTTACGCGCGAGCGCAAAATAATGCGAGTATTATATTCTGCCCACGTCCGATAAAAAAAAAAAAATAAAAAAAATTACTGCATTGTTGATTAACATAATCAATTATTTATTCAAATAGCGAATTAAAAAAAAAAAAACCCGAAGCCTGCGTTATTTACACGCGCAGAATCCGGTAGATTATTATTGCGGAGGAAGCGGAGGACTATTATAATGTATACTACTACCGCTGCTACGGTAGTAGTGTGATAATACTGCGAGTGTACGTGCGCGACGACGTAGTGGGCAATTATTTCGAAAATCTTTTTTACCGCTCGCGAACACCCCGCGTGTTCGACCTGTGAACGATTGCACCACCGGCGTTTCATTTCGGTACTGAACACCCGTAACATCGTACGGCGACAGACGGTCAGCGACGATTCCCGACACGGCTGGACTCGGCACTAATGTCTTTACGCCGCGACGGGAAAACGAATCCCCGGAAAGCCGAGGTGTCCGACGGTCGGCGCGAACGTTTATTTGTAACGTCGGGTGTTTCGTTCGGCTTTTCTCGTACCATGGTTATGGTCACCCGCCCGGAGCCGGTCGCGGCTTTTTGATTCCGAGTGTGGGAAACCGGCGATTTTAGATTTTCTGAACGGAGCGAGTAATCTATTCCGATATTTGAGTATAGCGGTTTTTTTCTGAAAGGATGTCTGACTGGGGTGGTGCGTACTTTATGGCGGTCGTTTTTTTTTTTTCCCCTAGGGGTTTTCATAAAAAAAAAATGGAAAAAACCGTTGGACAAACGGGAAAATGTATGAATTATATATTTTTTCAAATCGTCAGTATTACGGCCTTTTAAAACACGCACAACCGAACTCCGCTCTGAATCGTTTTTCGTTGGCGTAGGTCAATCGTTCGGTAAAGATCCACATGAAATTCCCCTGTATATCATGCCTTTCAAATTTCTCACCTTCAACAATAATGGTCCACCCATCGTGCGAAATATGTCCGTCTTTCTTTTTAGCGTTTTACTAAGATGCGATTATTTAAGGATTATTAAAACCGTTCGCGTAAAAACACTTTTTCGGTTGGTATGGTATGCGTTCGATAATTCGAGGTACCTTCAAATTCGCGGATTGTTCATCCGGTTACTATCATAACAAATAACGATAGATTTCGGTAATACTTTTATCGATTTCTGGGTTACCGGGGCAAATAATGATAGAAAAACGCGATTTATACGATAACTTATAATATTAATAATTAACCGATCTTCACTCAGAATCGGTTACGACGAATCAACCGCCGTTTCTAAACTAAATCACCCTATAGTATACACGGTACACGACTTTCTAAATTTTCCGCCCACCACGTTTTTGTATACTACTGGAAAAAATAAAAAAAAAAAAAAGTATTAAAAGTTATTACATAAAACTTAACGCGCACATAGAAATATTATTAACTATTAACTTCGAGCAAGTGCCATCATGTTTTAGATAAAACGAAAATGTCGTGAACGCACATCGTGCAGTTTTCCTCGTTCTATGGCGGTTAACCGAAATATAACGAGTATAATGAGTATA